GAAAACTGTGAAGAAACCACGCAGCACACAAACATGAGTTTCTAAGATGGAGGGCGGGTGCTGTGTGGGATCCCAGGTAGAGTAAGAGAAAAGGCACATTTGCATCTCACAGCCCAGTCAGTGTGCAACGCCAGACCAGTCCCCTCATACACTAAGATGCACATAGCTCACACACACAGCCCATGGATGTCTCGTGACATATAGGTTTATGGGCACACATCACAGTCCCATGTGTCCAGAAGCTGTTCTGAGGATCAGTTGACTGTTACATGATCTTCCACCAGTGGTAGTAGGCCCCAAAGTGCAAAACTACCCAGGTACGCAGATGCATACCCTCAATATTCACACAACACAGGCAAGCCTACAACATTCTCCAAATGGGCCAGAACTGTGCAAGTTTCTGGGCCCAAAAAGGCCTGGCTACCTGCCACTCCAAAGTTTCCCACTGCAAATTCCCACCCCATCCTAACAAAACCCTAAGATCTAATCATTCTGGTGCACTTTTGGTGCCTAGTCAATCTGCCCCCCCACCCCACCCCACCCCCGCCTTTCCCTCACCTTGCAATAATCCTGCTCCAATTACTCTCTGGGAATGTGTTGTACTTCAGTTTCTACACTGGGGTAATCGTCCTAATCTTAGGTATTACAACCAAGGCCCAATTCTCAACCTTCAGTAACAAACGCTGCCCTTTGTGGGTTTTATGAAGGTGTTATTACATAGGCATGTTGACTAAATCATTGGCCTTTAGGGATCAACCTAACCTCCAATCCCAGTCCTTTCCCCAGGGGTTAGGAAGTGGGGCTGGAAGTCCCAATTTTCTAATTCTGCCTTGATCTTTCTGGTAACCAGCCCCCATCCTAGAGCTACTTACAGGCTGCCTGACATTAGTAATTCTTTAGAATACAAAAAGACACCTATCACTTTGATGATTCCAAGAAAATTATGATTCTTATGCTAGGAAATGGCCATGAAGGCCAAATGTATATTTCATAACACCATAATTTATAAACTGAGTAAATTCAGTATTTCAAAAGTGCAGCAAGTGGTACAATAAGAAAATAAAAAGTGGATGAATTAAGAGCAGAGAGAATCATGGAACACTTATGCATACATAGCCTCTGTACCAAAACAGTTTTCCAGCGTTCTCCAAATGTACAAATAGATAAAAAGGTGGAACCAGCAGCCAGCAAAACTTTTTGGCTTTTCTAGAAATCTTGGATAGATTTCCACATCAAAGGCAACATAACCAAAGTAATGAAGATTGTGAACAAATGACAAAGTGCTAATAATGGGGGAATAATCTTGTTTAACATTTTAATAAATCATCAAGAAACAGTGTAGACAAGGAAATTTGTGGGGTGGGGTTGCTGGAGATTGAACCCAGGGGCACTTAACACTGAGCCACATCCTTAGCCCTTTTTATTTTTTATTTTGAGACAGGTTCTCACTAAGTTGCTGAGGCTAGCCTTGAACTTGTGATCCTCCTGCCTCAGCCTCCCAAGTCACTGAGAATACAGGTGTGCACCTCCACACATTTCCCTCTACAAATATTAATGCCCCAAACCATTTGCTATCTCTTGTTTTGGAAATGGCCTGCATTCTTATTTGAATGTGCATCTGCTTTCCCAAAGAAATCTGTCTTTGTCTCTAACTGTAGGTGCGGAATTTTTTTTTCCTTTTTCTTCTTTTTGCCACATAAGTCAAGGATTCCAAATGTTCTGAAACCAGAACCCCTCTCTGGGAACTCCTCCAGTGATATTATCACTGAGTTACATTGCCAGTCCTTTTTAGTTTGTTTTGGATTATAAATTTGTTTTGTTCCATTTTGAATTTTTAGATAGGGTCTTGCTATGTTGCCCAGGCTGGCCCTAAACTGTGATACTCCTACATCAACCTACTATGTAGCAGGGATTACAGGTGTGCACCACAACAAAGGAGTTTTTCATTTTAGATCATGGCTAAGTACCACTTCAAGGTTTTATGCTACTGCAAATTCCACCCTATATCCTAACAAAAGCCCTAAACCTAATCATTTTGTCACATTTCAATCCCTAGTCAATTTGCCTGTCTTTCTTTTCAGGGTGTATCTAACTTTCTCTTGCCTTTTCAGTTAATTCAATGAAAACAGAATAAATAAAAGGAAGTAAAAGGAGATTACAACAATCTGAAAGCCTTGTGTTAAAATTCCTCATATGTTTCCTCCCAGGCCAGTTTTTCTCCCAGGCTTGTCACTCCCAAATTTCTAAGAAATCTACAAATTTAAAAGTTATTGTAAATTCACTCATCTATGAAAATTGCCTCATTTTAATTAAAATGCAAGAGCACTGTTAGACACACAATGTATTTTCAGATTAGATCAAACACAGGGAGGTGCATTTTAAGAAACCTACACCATAGACACATTTCAAATGTCATCTAGATAAAAGAGGCAATGTCAACCTGAAGATCCTGGAAGACGAGACCATCATAAACCTCCTGGGATCGCCATACTTGTGCTGTTCCCAGATACCTTCCCCTGCCCACGCCTAGATAACCTTCATTCTGCTCTGAGAATGTGTACCTCCACCTCTCCCTTTCTAATAAAAATCTTCCTCTTTGCTAAAATCTGACTCGTCCTTAAATTCTTTTCTGCAATGTGTCAAGAGCAGGGAAGGTCTAGGTGGAGATCTCCTCTGCCTCTGGAGAGACCACCTGGAACCCCTTTACAGTGACATAACGTTTAGTTGATGAGGACAAAGGCCAAATAATGGGAAATAATGGTAGGTGGCTTCAATTTATAATTTAAATTATAAATTTAGGAGAAGTATAACAGTAGGGGAATAGGAGGTAGACACTCAGAACTAATCATTGGCTCCAACTAGATGGGCCTATTTCCCTTGATTTTCTCAATTTTTCATCTACTTCTTGCCCATTATCTACAGCTGGGTGCACGGTTGGTAAGATTTGTCAGCTAGAGGGGAATCCTTTTTTGAATCCTTACTACAATATACTATAATCTCCAAATATTCAAGGATTAAAGTAGGGGAGACACATAGGATAGAAGAGGAAAGAGTAAACTAATACAAATTGGAAAGAACTGTCTTTTCAAAAAAAGGGATGTGGTGGATGAACACAAGGAAGAAATAACAAATCTGAAGAAAGAACCAAAAAAAAGCAATGAAAGCAATGACATTGGAAGATATCTAAAAAAATATAAGTCCTGCAACTGATTACAAAATGGATAAAATAATAAGGGATCAAGAGATGGTTTAAAACACATAACAAAACTCCACATTGCTTTTATCCCGTGGAGCTTGGAGTTGCATGAAACAGAGTATACCCAATACTGAAATAATGAATTTTGCAAAACAGAAAGAATCTATTCATGAGGCAGCCAAGCATGTGGAGACTAGAGAGTAAGACTTAAATCCACCTCCCCCAAATAGGATTTGGGAATATTTATTAGATCAAACTTCATCAACTGTCACATTATAATGTGTCACCATTATAATCTACACCTCAGAGGTGTTAACTTTTAGTTAACTAAATGACTAATACTTAGAAAAAAAATACATAGCTCAGAGTATATGAAGTGGGTTAGTCTAGAAAATCAAGTAACTAAGAGCAACTTAAATCTAAAGGGTTTGTTCAGGTTTTCCCCTGGTTTCAGAGGAGGTTTAAAAACAACTCAAAAGGGCTGGGGTCTTAGCTCAGTGGCAGAGCGCTTGCCTAGTGCTTGCCTAGCACCTATGAGGCATTGGATTTGATCCTCAGCACCACAAAAAAATAAATAAAGGTATTGCGTCCATCTACAACTAAAAATAATTTTTAAAAAACTTAAAAGAGGCCTGCCAGCTACCCATCTTAAAGAGTGGATAGAGATGGAAAATGCAAATACTTTAAAATAAATTCCTGGAAGAATTTACAGCAATATTGTTTAAACCTGTCAGAGGCTAGTGAGATGCAATAGTGCTCATTGGCCAGAGTCAGAAGCCTGTATGCTAGTCTTGGCTTGCTCATTTAGCTGAAAACTGGCAATAGTAACACCTGTTCCAACTACCTCAAAGGGTGGTTTTTGGCGTTCAAATGAGACCATGTATTTAACTGTTTTGAAAATTGTAAGAGTGCTTCATAAATATAAGGTGTTTTTGTTGTTGCAACGTTGAAATTATTGCAGACTCCCAAACAAGGGTTATCTAAGGAACCAATTTGGCTCTCCCAAGTGCGGATTGTAAGCTTCCATGAGTGCTGTCCTGTGTTTGGTGGGATCTTGAGAGGGAAACCTCAGTGCCTTTATGATCTGGGACTGGGACCCGGGGCCCTGTACATGCTAAGTACGCGTTCTACCACGGAGTTACACCCCTAAGACTTTTTTATAGCCACTATACAAATTAGCAAAGTGGTGCCTGTAAAGGGACCACGCAGGCAAATGCTTTAAGAAACACTGCCAAGAAGCAGCCACCGAAGCGCCAAGTCTGTCAGAGTACTTTTCCACGGAATTGCAGTTCCCTGAGACAATGATGCATCATGCCCGATCACTCCAAGGATGTCGGCCGCCGAGCAGAACGTGAATTGATAGAACTGATGGTCTAGTGACGCAGTTACTACGATTTCATTCTGATACATTTAATAATGTGCCACAGTTCCCTGAAATAAGCGAGATGCTACAAAGAGCTGCAAATACAGAACGATCTGTCACCCCACACCTAGAAAACGAGCAGGAATAAAGAGCTTGCACTCGGCTCCCACGGGTCCAGGCCCCACGAACGCGCCTCCCCGGTGCTCCTCGCCCCTGACTCAGGCGCAGGCGCCGACACCGCATCACGTGACCCAGCGCGCCGTCGGCGAGGGCGGGCGGGGCCGGGTAGGCTCCGCAGCGCCGCGCAGGCGCCCCAGGGCCGCGCCGAGCCGAGCCCCTCCTGCTCCCTGGAGGAGTCAAAATGGCGGCGTGGGGAACCTGGAGCAGTCCCGGAGCCTGAGCCACTGACAGAAGAGGAGAGGAGAGGGCGGCGGCGGCAGGAGGAGGATGGCCGCGGGTGCTGGCGCTGGTGCGGACGGCAGTGCTGGGGGCGGCGGCGGCGGAGGCGACGGCAGCGGTCCCAGCAGCAGCAGCAGCGGGAGGAGCCTCCGTGGTGAGTGTCCCTGGGTCTCTGAGGCTGTGGAGCCGACGCGCTCTCCAGCGGAGCTCTGGGCGTCCAGGCGAGGAAGGGGATGTCCCTGGGCGTAGGGTCCCGGGGCTGGGCCGGGCCTCCGCGGGAGGCAGTGGAGCGCGGGGCGGGGAAGAGGGAGTCGTCCGTCTGGGGCCGCGGCGCGCCGGCGCCGGACTGGCCGGTCCCGGTGCTCTCCGAGGGGCGGGCCGGGCAGCGCGCCGCCGTCCCGGGGGCTGACGTTCGAGGTGTGGCGCTCGGGACAGGAGGGTGGCCCGAGGTCGCCGCCGTAGCGGCGGCGACGGCCCTGTCGGCTTTGGGCTCCGGCTCTGGGCTCGGAGGGGCGGGACCCTCCGCTCCCAGGACGCGGGGAAACCGCTCCCGAGCCCCCGGCGCCGGTTTACGCGGAGCTGGGCTGCGACCTCCGGGGGTGGGAGTGAGGGCGGCGGGCCTGGGCGTGGGGAGCCCGCAGGCCTTGGGCCGGCGAGTCTCAGGGGGAGAAGTTAGGTGGTCCGGTCAGCTGTTAATGGGGGGAAAAAACTGGGACTGAGCTTTGACAGGTAGGGAAACAATACAGTGTGTCTGGTAATGAAGAGGAGGAAGGGGAATACAGAAATGGCTGGAGGGTGCCTTTTTCATTGCCAGGTCCTTTCCTTGGCTGTTTACTACCTTACCGCCACCCCCCACCCCACCCCGAGAACTTTCTCACCGATTTTGGAGAAACTCTGAGGAATGTTGTTTGTGCTTTGAACTACAATAGCACCCCTCCACATACCAGCACAGATAATAAGTACTGTGAAGTAGGCCTTCGGTAATTTACAGCAGTCTGTGTTATCTTTACCACCGCACTGTTTCCTCTACTAAAACATCTAACTGTGATGAGGAAGAGGCTTTTATTTTCTTTAAGAATCACTTAGCTTTTTCAACAGAATCTTTTGTCTCTGAATAGCATCCACATTTTTTATATTGCTGAAATAAATTGTTTTCTTCCTGAAGTGTGGAAGAGAGATTTGATATCGCTTTATAAGAATCATACATTTAACAGCAGCTACGATTAGACTTTTTTGGAGTCAGAAAAACCTTTAGAGATCTGGTGTGACTCGTTTTAAAACTGGGACTCTAGACCCAGGGAGGTGAGTGAGTTGCTGTGGGTCTTACTGCTGTGAGGAGCAAGCTCAAAACTAGGACCGAGCCCTTTAGAGAACTCTACACTGCTGAGCTCAGTCTTCATTGAATTCTTCACCACCACTACCAATTCCAGTCCTAGGTTTTTATGCAGTAAAGTTGAAAGCAGAAAGGAGAGCTCCTGCTCTGATTATGACCTTAAATAACTGATGAAGACCCCCTCCCCGACCTGAATCTATTAAAAATGGAGTGACATTTGGGCTTGGGTTGTGGCTCAGTGATAGAGGGCTTGCCTAGCACACAAGAGGCATAAAAATAAATAAATAGAGATATTATGTCCATCTACACTTTTAAAAAAATGGAGAGACATTTAATTTGGAGTTTTCATAGGCCCGTGACTACATTCTATTTCATCTTTCATCCTACATTCTATTTCATCTTTCATCCAAATGTAGCACGGCTCCTCTTGCATGAATTCAGTAAAGCCTACAGGTCACTATTATGTCCACAAAACCTAACTAGTATATTGTTCTGTGTCCCAACACCAGCATTTGAACAAGTTCTTTGTCTCTGACTCTTAATTTTAGGATTTAAAATACCTGTGGTTGTTTTCCAAATTATACTGCCTACTTTCTGTCTTTTTGGACCACAGCAATTTTATTTATAGTGTGGGTACAGGCAAACCTTCAGAATTACAATAAAACCAAGTGATTCTGATTTCATATTCTAGTTGCTGAAACACGTCCAAAATTACACAGGTGATTCTTGAAAGTCTCCTTTGTGTTTTGCATTACATTAGCACTGTGGGATGAAGGAAAGGAGTACAATAGAAAGATTTTTGCCCCCAGATTCTTGTTGGAAAGATAAGATGTACCTACGGAAATCTAGAAGACAGCCTAGTGAGTTCTGCTTATACAAAAAATGTGGGTATTCAGAGGAGAGGGAGATTGAGTGAGCCTTCAGGAGTATAAAGAACTTCCTGGAAGGATTGCAAGTTTAAAGCCAGCCTCAGCAACTTACTGAGACCATATCTCAAAATAAAAAATTAAAAAGAGCTGGGGATGTGGCTCAGAAGTCAGTGAAGTGTCTTTGGGTTCAATCCTTGGTACCATTATTAAAAAAAAAAAAAAAAAAGATGGGGCTGGGTTGTGGTTCAGTGATAGAGTGCTTGCTTCACATTTGTGAGGCACTGGGTTCAATTCTCAGCACTACATATAAATATGTGAATAAAATAAAGGTCCATCAACACTAAAAAAAAAAAAAAAAAAGAAAAAAAAAAACTTCCTGGAACACTTGAGACTTGAATTGACCAATGAAAATTTATAGGGAAAAACAGGACTATAAATTGAAGATTAGTTTGGGGAGGGGAATAGAGGGAAACTAAGATGAATTTCCTTTGGAGAATGTTTTCCATAAGGACATTAGACAGTTGGAATGTTATCTGCTTGTAGAAAGGTTTGAATGCTAAATTGAGATTTGGTTTTTTATTCTCTTGCGCAAGGCATAGAGAACTTTTGAAAGTTTGGAGGCCAGAAATTAATGTGATAAACAGCAAAGTGAACTTATCAATGATCTATAGGTTGAGTTAGAATGAAGAGAGAATGGAATGAACTGGGGAAGGCAATAGCTGGCTGTTGAGTTACCTACCTATGAGTAGATAAGATCCTAAACTAGAGTAAAGTAAGTAGGAAGGATTGTATAGCAAGTATGTATATACATGTGTGAATACTTACTGTGTAAAATACATATAACATAAAATTTAATCATTTAGTCACTGAAAGTTGTATAGTTCTATGCATTTATACATTCACATCACTATGCACCCATTACTCCCATCCATCTGCAAAATCCTTTTTATGGGGGGGTATGCTGGGAATGGAACCCAGGGCCCCACACATGCTTAGCATGCACTGTACCACTGAATTATACTCCCAGATCCCGTCTGCAGGATTCTTTCCGTCTTCTTAAACTGAAATCTGAACTCGGTAAACACTTCGTTACTCCTACCCCCTGACAGCCACCATTCTACCCTCTGTCTCTGTGAATTTAGCTACTCCAGGTATCACATGTAAGTAGAATCATGAAATCATGAGTATTTATGACTGGCTTATTTAACTTAACATCACATCTTCAAGTTCCATCCATGTTGTGGCATGTATCCAAATTTCCTTTCTTGTTTCTTTTTGGTACTGGGAATTGAACCCAGGGGCACTTAACCACTGAGCTACATTCTTAGCCCTTTTATATATTTTATTTACAGACATGGTCTTGCTAAGTTGCTGAGGCTGGCTTTGAACTCACAATCCTTCTACCTCAGCCTCCTGAGCGCTGGGATTATAGGTATGCGCCACCACACCCAGCTCCTCCCATTTTAAGGATGAATGATATCTATTTTGTGTATATACTGCATTTTGTTTATTTATTTGCCCGATGAGAACACTTGAATTGCTTCTAGTTTTGACTGTGTATTATGACTGTGTATTATGAACATGGATATAAAAAATCTGTTCAAGACCCTGTTTTGACCGGGCTCAGTGGCACATGCCTGGAATCCCAGTGGTTTGGGAGTCTGTGGCAGGAGGATTGTGAGTTCAAAGCCAGCCTCAGCATTTTAGTGAGGCCCTAAGTAACTCAGCAAGACCCTATCTCTAAATAAAATAGAAAAATGGCTTGGGATGTGGCTCAGTTTAAATGCCCCTGATTTCAGTCCCCTAGTACAAAAAACAAACAAATGACCCTGTTTTCATTTCTTTTGGGTATAATACCAGGAAAAATTTATCATTCCCACCAGCAGTGCACAAGGATTCCATTCTAGCCATATCCTGGCCAACTCTTGGGGGGTTTTTTTTTGTTTGTTTGTTTTTGTTTTCCTTTTTGATACGCCTTCCTAATGAGTGTGAAGTAGTATCTCACTATGGTTTTGATCTGCATTTCACTAATGATTAGTGTGTTGAGCATCTTTTCCTGTATTTATTACCTTTTTGTGTATCTCCTTTGGAAAAATAATTTTTTACCCATTTTTAAATCAGATTGTTTTGTTATAGGAATTTTTCGTCTTTTTTTGAATATCAGTCCATTATCAGATATGGTTTGCAGATGTTTTCTTCCAATCTATGGGTTGCCTTTTCACCATCCTTTGATGTGCAAAAGTTTTTAATCTTGGTGAAGTTCTACTTCCTAGTTTTTCTTTTGTTGCTTATGCTTTTGGTATCATATCCAAGAAATCATTGCCAAATCCAATGTCATGTCATGAAGTTTTTCCTTTTGTTGTCTTTTAAGAATTTCATAGTATACGTTTTTATTTTTTAAGTCTTTTCCAATTGAATGGTCTTGGCATCTTTATTGAAAAATCTTTTGAGAGGCTGGAGGTGTTGCTCAGTAGTAGAGCGTTTGCCTAGCATGTGCTAGGCCCTGGCTCAATCTCCAGCATTAAACAAAACAAAACAAAACAAATGAAGAAAAAAGAAAGAATAACAACAAAAGTCTTTTTTTTTTTTTTTTTTTTTTTATGGTGCTTGGGATCAAACCCAGGGTCTTGTGAAGGCAAGCATTCTACCAACTGAGCTATATCCTCAGCCCAACAACAAAAGTCATTTGACCATAAATGCAAGGGCTTATTTCTGGGATCTCTGTTCTGTTGCATTGATCTATAAGTCTGTCTTTATGCCAAAACCACACTTTTAATTATTGTGGTGTTATATATATATATAATTTTTTTTTTCAATAAAAGTGTGATACCTCCACTTTGCTCTTCTTTTTCAAGATTGTTGTGCTATTTGGGAATCCCTTGATATGCCGTATGAATAATTGGATAGTTTTTTTAATTATAAAAAAAAGCTATTGGGATTTTGTTAGGAATT